TTTGAACCTCTCTAGCCCAGTGCCTTTGGGACCAGACTGGTGCCAAACCAGAGAATTTGCCAAACCACAGGTGGTCAATACTGTCTAGCAACATTACCAACACTTCCACTGCTTACTCGGCTCTTAAAAGACATTGAAGGGTAAATTAGAGCTAAATAACAGCACAGAACACTGAGAGCCAGGACTGGTGGCTGTAAACAAACTTTATGGGACTGCAGGAAACTTGGCCACACCCATGATAAATGGATAGCCAGCTAACTAAAATCATGCCAGACTACTGATGCTGCTAGACCAGAGAGTACTGGACTAAAGAGAGTCAACCTGTATTTAAATAAACAAACCCAATCTTTCAGATGTTGTTTCTACAGGGAAAAGTTGCATGTTGATGTTGGAGGGAGATTTATATTTTTTGTAAACAGACTCAGCAATTATAAACTAGGCAAATATAACTTAGATAGGGCCACGATAAGGTGGGTGCATAATTGGCTGGATAACCGTAGTCAGAGAGTTGTTGTTAACGGTTCTAAATCCTGCTGGAAAGGGATAACAAGTGGAGTTCCTCAAGGGTCTGTTTTGGGACCCGTACTGTTCAATATCTTCATCAATGATGTAGATATTGGGATAGAGAGTACTCTTATTAAGTTTGCAGATGATACCAAACTGGGTGGGGTTGCAACTTCTTTGGAGGATAGGGACATAATTCAGAATGACCTTAGCAAGTTAGAGAAATGGTCGGAGGTAAACAGGATGAGGTTTAATAAGGAGAAATGCAGAGTGCTCCACTTAGGAAGGAACAATCAGTTCCATACATACAAGATGGGAAGCGACTGTCTAGGAAGGAGCATGGCGGAAAGGGATCTAGGGGTCATAGTGGACCACAAGTTGAATATGAGTCAACAGTGTGATGCTGTTGCAAAAAAAGCAAATATGATTCTAGGTTGTATCAACAGGTGTGTTGTAAGCAAAACTCGTGAAGTCATTCTGCCGCTCTATTCTGCACTAGTTAGGCCTCAGCTGGAGTACTGTGTCCAGTTCTGGGCGCCACATTTCAAGAAAGATGTGGAGAAATTGGAAAGGGTACAGAGAAGAGCGACAAGAATGATTAAAGGTTTAGAGAACATGACCTATGAAGCCAGGCTTCATGAACTGGGCTTGTTTAGTTTGGAAAAAAGAAGATTAAGGGGGGACATGATAGCGGCTTTCAAATATCTAAAAGGGTGTCACAAGGAGGAAGGCGAAAATTTGTTCCTCTTGGTTTCTGAGGACAGGACAAGGAGTAATGGGCTTAAAGTGCAGCAGGGGAGGTTTAGATTGGACATTAGGAAAAAATTCCTAACTGTCAGGGTATAAATTCCTAACTGTCATTGGAATAAATTGCCAAGGGAGGTGGTGGAATCTCCCTCTCTGGAGATATTTAAGAACAGGTTGGATAGACATCTGTCAGGGATGGTGTAGACGGAGCTTGATCCTGCCTTGAGGGCGGGGGGCTGGACTCGATGACCTCTCGAGGTCCCTTCCAGTCCTATTATTCTATGATTCTATGATTCTATGATTAATCTGCACTCATGAAATCCACATTGCTTCTCAGTTTCTGAATTTAGACTCACATCATTAACATGATTGCTAAACTTGTATATCATACTGGATAAAGTATATTCATTATGGACTCTCAGAAACTTCTCTGAATCTGCTTAAATTAAGATTGCTTATATTAATGATGCTGTTCATTGTACTGAAAATCTCCAGATTCTATAATATGAAGATAGCATTTACCAAATATTTATCAGAACTTTGTAAGCTTTATTCTTAATATGTTTGACTAGCTAACACTATTTGAAGTAAGTACTACAGTTATTGTGTGATTGACAACTATAGTAATCTTCTACCGGACTTCAGATAATATATAATTTGAGACACTAAAAGTAGGTATAAAGTTTACTGTTGCCTTTTTGAGCATGCTACTTACAAATCACTTGATCAAATTTAGGCAGCTGATCAAATTAAGAAGCTGTATAATCTTTTCCTGAAAATTGATGCCACGCAGATTGAAGTGAATCCGTTTGGTGAAACTCCAGAAGGTCAAGGTAAGAAATGGAAGAAAACAAATAAGTATATTAGAATTCTTTATGCAAACTGTACATTAAATTGCATGGAAGGGGATACCAGCAGCTTTGCATTAATTTCATTGTATAATTTAATTTATGCAATATACATAAGTGTTCCTGTGATAGATTTTAACATGTGAATGAATACCATACCACTTAAATACTGAAAATATTAGCATCTACATATGGCTTTGTGACAAAAACATCCTCTTTGGACTTCTTACACTAAGGCTGCATCTAGACGGGCATGATTTTGTGGAAGTAGTTTTAACAGAAAAGTTTTTCCGCTAAAAGTATTTCCATAAAAGCGCATCTAGATTGGCAAGTGCCTTTGCGTAAAAGATTTGCTTTTGCGCAAAAGCATCCATGGCCAGTCTAGACGTGATTTTGCGCAAGAAAGCCCTGATCGCCATTTTAGCAATTGGGGTTTTTTTGCGCAAAACAGTTCTTCCCTGTCTACACTGGCCCTCTTGTGCAAGATAGAGTGGAAACTGCTTCATCTTACATTCTTCTGTTGGTTGTTTCTTTTCTAATATGACCCAGCCTTTTTGCCCCCTTTGTATATTAGTTATAGCAGCTTGTCTCTATTGCAATTTACTGACATGCAAAATACACTATTTATGTATTCTCTTAATTTGTCCCATTTCTTTACTACAATATTGTAAATTTGTTGAAAATGAATGTCTTGAAAATGATAGTCTTGAAAAAATAAATACTAAGTTGGGTTTGGTGCAGAAGGAGGATTAGTTTGAATATAAGACTAGTAGTGGAGGAAAAATAGTGTACGAATCCTTTTCATTAAGTCACTAATAATGGGACAAACTGCTAAAGTCTTAGATAGTCAGGGAAACCTTCAAACCAGAACTGAATGGAGCAACAGCATCTAAACTGGCAAGAAGAGCTGTAAAGTAAGACATTGACTCTTGGGAAGTGTGTTCTGTAGAAGAAGAGTTTGAAGAGGGTTTGTTTCAGAAGTTGGCGTAACAGACTTCTGGAGAGGAAGCGGAGGAGGGGTATGGCATCCAGGAAAGAGGTTGTGGTGTGGGTGTGCTCAAGTAGAGCACATTTGGAGCTGGTGGGAAGTGCAAAGGATGGTGTAACTCAAAGCTGAATCTGTGTTTCAATGAAGTCAAAAGCAGCAGACGTCTCATTCATTTCAGCAGGCAGCAACCACACTTGGCAAGACTCAGTCAGCCTTTGTGTTATGAAACCATGATGGAATTTTTCAGAAAGGGAGCAGATATTGGATGGGAGGGCTAACGCTGTGCATTAAAATAAATAAAATCTATTATCAAAATAGCGCATGGCATCCATGTCGCTCTTTGTGACAGTACTAGAGCAGCTAGTGGGTGGCAAATTATTCACACATATATTTACATTTAGGTATGTGATTACAGGTTTAATTTAAAGGCTACCATTAAAATAAGTCATGCTAAATGCATGTGCACATAATACGTGCATAGAACACATTCACATTAGCAAGCCCAGAAAACTTTTGGATTGATCATCTGCACTTGAACATAAGAATGGCCCTACTGGGTTAGAACAATGGTCCATCTGCCCATTTTCCTGTTTCTGATAGTGGCCATTGTCAGATACTTAAGAGGGAATGAGCAAAACTGGGAAATTTATCTAGTGATCTAATGCGTCATCCAGTCCCAGCTTCAGAGACTGACACCTAGAGTATGGGGTTGCATCTGTGACCATCTTGGCCAATAGCCACTGAATGACTTATCCTCCGTGAGCTTATCTAATTCTTTTTTGAACTCAGTTCTATTTTTGGTTTTTACAACATCCCCTGGCAATGAGTTTCACAGGTTAACTGTGCATTGTACAAAGAAATACTTCCTTACATTTGTTTTAAACTTGGTTTCCCCTTCCCTGTAAGTAACCAATGCTCACTTTGTGCCTTCCAACAGAGTATCCATTTCTAAAGAGATTGTCCAGTGGTCTAGCAGCTCTTGCAAGTCTGTTTGCTCAGGCCTGTCAAAGAGCCTGTCGGAAAGGTTGAACACAACAGTCTCCGTGACAGGATAGTCAGAGGGGCTTGTAGGAGGATGCCAGTTTATACTTATGCTATCTGGGAGCTGTGTCGGTTCTACCTGGAAGGGAGGAGAGAGGGGCAACAGAGTTGCTGGGCCACTGAGAAAAGTGGGCGAGTCTGCCTCTGCGCTCCCAGAAGGGGTGGATACTCAGATGGAAATGGTTGGGTTGGAGGCAGCCAGTTGGCAGGGCCACCGAGATCATGCCACGTTGCACCCTTTGGCCTCCCACTAGTCCTTAGAGACACACAGAATGCAGCGCACTGTTGGCAATTTACAGGGCCTGGATTTTGCCGCTGGGGTGGGGTGGTGACTGCCAAGATCCCCAGCACTTTTTGAATCATCAGGCCCTACGACAAGTGCCCCTTTACCTCCTCTGCGGGGCTCTTGTACATTTCAGAGGCAAAGGCGTCCTTATTAACTAGTCGAGTACTCGATAGGAATTCCATTGACTATTTAATTAGTCGGTTAATATACATTTAACATCCCTACTTTGTTTACTGTGCTGTTGTAAGAAAGCTAAATCAGAAGGAGGTCTTCTGCATTTTACCGTTAAGATCATGAGGGACATACTCACTCTGATCTCTTCTGGAACTTAATTTTTCATTCAAGTGATCAACAATTTTTATGCATTAAAACGCACACAGAAGAATTGACAGAGTAGGAGACAGTAAATAGACTGTTTCTATGTTTCAGACTGAAATTCCGACAGTATTAATGACTACTAGAAATGTAAACAAGCAAACAAAAACCCTATTTGATATGTGTTGTTGCGGCTAGGTTGGTTTTGTACATGTTTTGGAACATTAACATGAACTATAGTACAGGCATTTTTAAAACAAACATCAGTAGACATAATTGGCTTACTGTTCCATGTGACAATAATTCAGAGATTGAATTATAATCATGGTCAAGTGTGTGTTTGTTTTATGACTGTAATGAGCAGTAGTCAAATAAAACTAAGTTAGGAAAAAATGATTAATGACCAAAATTTATAAATGCTGCCTTAATATAAAAGCACGTTTTTGGTGGTGGTTGTTTTGTTTCTTTTTTGTTTTCTGTTGTTTTCAAAAACTGTAAAGTATTTTGTATAGATTTTGCATTTAGAAAACAAACACCATGTTTCAGTGTGGAAAATACGATTTGAGAATTTTAGTAAAGTATTGGATTTTTTTTCTGGTTAATCTAAGATGCACGAATGACACAGAAATGGATTGATGAGCCTTATTTTATAAATCTTATTCTGCATAAAACATTTAAGTAAAATGTATATCAATCAATTATAACTTTATTAAGCTTTTCACCAGTATGTGAAGCTTCTGTTTCCTTGGTACAAAGCCAGGACTGTTGTCCAATGTATTTCCCACCATAAGCCAAGTTTTAAGGATAAAGAGGAATTCTGCCCTCAGGAACCCCAGAAGATTTTATCTTGCTTGCCTCATTCATATGAATAATTCTATTAACTTTACTAGAACAAGTTGGAGTAGGTAAGCAGGATTTTTGGTTAGTGTGTGGGAGCCGGGGTGTGTGGGTGTTCTGTGACACTCAGAAGAACAGATTTGATGGTCTAGTAGTTCCTTCTGACATAAAAAACCTCTTGACTCTATCATTTTTTCCATTCACTATAGTGGGGTTGCATAGTCAAACCATTTGAGTAAAAACAAGGTATTGAAGTAGACATTGGTCAAGGCTGTGTTACTTGGATCATTTCAGAAGCTAGGAGCCACATTCTTTTGATAGGTGTAATGGGATATAGTGGTTCTTTAAGAGTAGAGGGAGGCCAGAAGACCCTGTTCTAGAAAGATGAACATGGTGTCAGGAGAGAGATTGCAGTCCCAGAGAACTATGGGTTGGATGGGGGGAAAATCCAGGACATTGTTCTTTAAAATCTCAGAGGGGTGGCTATATTAGTCTGTATCTGCAAAAACAATGGAGGCTCCTGTGGAATGTTAAAGACTAGCAGAGTTATTTATGCCCAAATAAATCTATTTGTTTCTAAGGTGCCACAGGATCAGAAACTTTGTAGTGTAGTGGGGAGTAGGGAACCCCTCTCTTCCAGCTGACCGGGAGGACCACTCTGGATGGAGGCATTGGCAAGAGAAGGAAGCCAGAGCCCGAAGGCCAGAGTCCAGGGAGAGACCATGTGAAGGAGTGACCCTGTGAAGAACTCCATGTGGATGGCAGAAGAGCCAGAGAGAGAAGTAGGAACATTTGGATGGGCCGTTTGAACTGTCTGCAGGCATTAAATGTGCCCCAAGCACAGGGCAGTGGGACTTGAGAGAGGCTTTAAGGGTCCCTGGAGAGGAAGAACAGAGGGAGGCTGCACAAGTAACTCCAGCCACAAGAGTCTGCTCGGGGAGTGGTAGCCTAGTACAATAGGATTGTGATGCAAGGGCCTTCTCGTATCAGACCTTTAAAGAAGCACGGTATCTTCAATTAGCAAAATGACCAAACAATATGTCTTTTGCATATTAAAGGTTTTTTTAAAATAAATGTACAGATTGAACCTCTCTAATCCAGCACTCTCTGGTCCAGCAACATCCATGGTCCAGCATGATTTTAGTTACCCGGATGTCCACTTATGAGTGTGGCCAAGTTTCCTACTGTCCTGTAAAGTTTGTTTACAGCCACCAGGTCTGTGTCTCACTTTTCTGTGCTGTGATCGAGCTCTAATCTATCCCTAAATGTCTTCTCGGAGCCCAGTAAGAAGTGGAAGTGTTGATAATGCTGCAAGACAATGACCTCCTGTGATTTGGCAAACTCTGATTTGGCAGCAGCCAGGTCCCGAGAGTGCAGGACTAGAGAGGTTCAACCTGTATTTTTTACTTAAATTAGAAGATATTAAGAGCCACATTCTCTGGTTTGGATCTGCATGAAAAACGGGCTGTGAGTTGTGGATTGCTCACAGAGCACAGTTGCATCTTTCATCTTCCACTG